TATATATATATATATCACACTCTATACACTATATATATATCTCACACTCTATACACTATATATATATATATCTCACACTCTATACACTATATATATATATCACACTCTATACACTATACACTATATATATCACACTCTATACACTATATATATATCTCACACTCTATACACTATATATATATATATATCACACTCTATACACTATATATATATATATCACACTCTATACACTATATATATATCTCACACTCTATACACTATATATATATATATATATCACACACTATACACTATATATATATATATCTCACACTCTATACACTATATATATATATATCACACTCTATACACTATATATATATATATCACACTCTATACACTATATATATATATATATCTCACACTCTATACACTATATATATATATATATATATCTCACACTCTATACACTATATATATATATATCTCACACTCTATACACTATATATATATATCACACTCTATACACTATATATATATCTCACACTCTATACACTATATATATATATATATATATCACACTCTATACACTATATATATATATCACACTCTATACACTATATATATATATATATATATCTATATATATCACACTCTATACACTATATATATATCACACTCTATACACTATATATATATATATATATATATATATATATATATATATCTATATATATCACACTCTATACACTATATATATATCACACTCTATACACTATATATATATATATCACACTCTATACACTATATATATATATATTTGTGTAAGGGGCAAAATAGCCGTATATGGAGTAAGGATCCAGCATAAGCTTAGGATAGTGTAAAGGGAGCAAGTCGGTTGTGGGGTGCCGATACCGACGATACGGTAGGCCTGTAAATAAAGAGGGCCCACCAAGGAGTAAGAAAGTAAAGTAAATGGAAAGCAAAGAGAAAGTGTTGAAATGAGGAGTGGGTGGGAGGGTCATTCTGATGCTGACCTCAAGCGATATGAGTCAGGTAAGGGGTGTCCCTTATATAGGGGAGTGAATTAATTTAAGCCCTCCCACAAATACAGGCAAAACTGCCTTAATACTTGTGTAAGGGCAAAATAGCCGTATATGGAGTAAGGATCCAGCATAAGCTTAGGATAGTGTAAAGGGAGCAAGTCGGTTGTGGTGTGCCGATACCGACGATACGGTAGGCCTGTAAATAAAGAGGGCAAAATGAATAATCAAAGATTTAATACAGTCAACAAATATATACAAATTAACCAGACATTTCCTTAAATGCATTACAGTATTTAATTCCTGAAAGGATTTTGAAGGTAGGAATCTAGGACCGAAAGTGGACACCATTTGTTGTGGGTAGGATAGTATGTTATCTCTACTGTTGGTGCGTGTTGACTCGTTTCGGAATGTGGTGGAGCCAATAGGTAATGATATATGTGTTTACGTACGTGGGATCGTTGAAGACAATGATCTGTCTGAGTGGTGGTGATGGTAGTGGATTCTCTGGCCTGAGAAAAGGCATAAAAGGCAATGTGCATGGCTGGTAATGGCCGACTTGGTAGTATAATTGAATGGTTGTAGATCTAATAGGTCCGATAAGGATGAACAGTTGGATGGCTATTGGTAATCTCTGAGAGGAACGTGGGGGAATGGATTCCTGAAAACCTCTGAGTATATTCTTTTCTGGTATGATAGCATGAAGTTTATGGTAGTTTTGGCCATAGGTTATCATGTGTTGTTGAATGCCTGTAAAATATATAATTAATGGTGTATGAGATAGTTTAAGTTTAAGGTGGCAAAAATAAGCAAAACTTAGGAGAAATTTTGTGACACAGGTTGAGCTATGTCGTGTTCCAATGAGATTCTTTAAGCCAGGTGAAAAGCTGTGTTATGCGTTCTACAAGTATGGGACGAAAGTGCTAGGTGGGATAGTGCATGCTATGCTGCATGAGTATGTCTAATCCATGATTTTGTCTCTGGAACGAAAGAGTGGACGTGACTGTATGGGCGGCTGTAGGAAGCGTATGATGAACATGCCTGGAATATAAATGAGACAGTTGTCGGCAGGGATGTATACCCCCGTCTGGTACATGAAAGTGAAATGTGATAAGTGGCCAACCAAGTGAGTTCCCCAGAAACATCATGAACTTATGGATGAGTAGTGGCGTTTGTTGATGATATGATATGTGCTTAGTTGTCTGAGTAACAACGGATTGATGACCCTGACCATGATTTACCCCATGCCACAGCAGCTGCTACAATGGGGTAGATCTCCCAAAGGGGCTGAAGTGGTGGAAAAATTTCCAAACCTGGATGCCATGGCCAACAGCCCCAAAGCAATTGTTCCCGGTAGATCGCTGCCAAACCCATGGTATACGCTGCGTCTGACCATCTGGTTGGAGAAGTGTCAGACAATCCTGGAAGGAACATGCTTTTACCATGCCAAGTGGTTAAGAAATCCCCCCCCCCATGTGCAGGTCTGCTGTTGCTGAGGTGTCTAGGCACCTCCTCTGATCGTCATGTTGGAAGTGTGGAAAAAAGGGAAAGTACTCTGGATGTGAAAGCGTGGTCTTGTGGTATGATTGGCATGGCAAAATTAAGGAACCTGGTAGGGATTGTAGTTCCTTGTAGTTGTAAGTACTAAGCAGGAGGTAGTGATTGATTTAGTTGAGAATGTTCCCTATTTGTCTTGTGGTAACTTGCGTGTATGGATGCCGACTCAAGTCATATGCCCAGTAATGTGATGATAGTGTCTGCGCCTTCTGTTTCTTATGGGGTACTGGGACGCCCAAGTGGTCAACCAGACTAAGCTGCCATGAGGCTTCTAGTGAAAAATATGCTTTCTTTGAGCAACAAGAAGTCTTCTAGATAGTGTATGACTGTAATGCCTCTGGATATGTTATCATAACCAGCACAGAGTATCTGCGAATAGCGATAGTAGGTTAATCTGTAGCTCGAAAGTTGAGCAGGGAAAAGGATTGCCCAATTTATGCCATGTAAGTGCCAGTGTGTAGGGTAGATGGTAGCTGTTTACTGCGTTGATGATATTGGTCTTACTTAACCAAGCTTTAACCCATGCTTGAGTGATAGCTGTAAAGGTAGATCAATGGTGTTGTATAGTAAGAAGGGAGTTGAGACTTGGGGTAGCGGAGGTGTGTGGTGCCAATAAGTCTATGGTTAGTCTTTGTTTAAGGGAAGATTCCTTGTGACAATACCAATGTGTGTGTTTGGTGCCATGCTGTAAATGGTGGAGATTGGAAGACCACTCTGCAAATCTTGGCTATGAGTGTGTTTTCAGCCAATGGTTTTGTTGTGCTGACTGTAAGTGAGGGCATGCTATATTCCTTGAAGGTGTGTTTATGATACCTGTATGGGAGCCCTTTGAAGCTCCAGAGCTTTAGTAAATCTACTACAAGTCTGGAAGGGTGATGAGTCAGTAGTGTTGAAAATGCATTGGTGTGTACAGATGGTGAGTACGTTATTTGTAAGTTGTATTGGGCCACATGGTTTGTCATGTGCCCTGAACCATTTGAACATATATGCAACAGTCTATATGCAATGCAACTACTCATATCAATCGTCTCTGGTAGTTCAGAGGTGCTGGTACCTGGAGCCTGAGAGTGCTTGTCCATTTGTTTGGGACAGAACCCCTTCTGTATGGGTACCTGCACAAATAAACATCTCTACATATTCCAAATACCAACCCATCCAAGAGATGGTCAGTTCCCGATTTACCTGGAATCCCTGAATCTGACCATCACAGATACATCATCATACATATATATGCCTTGCTTCCCCAATGTGCTGGGATCATACGTGCAGGGTTAACATCTTGTGTGTCATAAGAATTGATTGTACCAGGTAACCGAGTTTCGGTTGGTGCTGGTTGTACAGTAACGTGAGGCCCAGCCTTGTGAGGGCTGTGGTGACCAACTCGAGATTGCCAGTCTGTCATAAAATTTTTTGGCTCATGAGTTTGAGTGAGGCTAGCATAGCCTGGGTGTCACCTGAGTTGATGTAGCTGGGCCTTCCCCTGCCTCCGTGTTGTCCGTTGATGTATGGAGGAGTTTGAATAACTCTGCTTTCCTTGCTGTAGCAGGGTAGGGGATTTGTCACCTCCTTAGGTCGGTGGTAATGTGTGGGATCGTCCAGGATCTGATTGCTGCAGGACTAGCAACATCTCCTCTGCTTGAAGGTGTATCAATTCTAGCCGGGGTGCTAGGAAGAGGTGATTCTTCACCATCTTTTGGAGAAATACTTAAATAACAATAAAGATGCAATTATTTGTACCCAGGGTTCTTGTACTGGCTTGCTAGCTAAGCCGTAAGGCGAAACGATTAGGCTTGGTGTTTTTTGGTGACTGGTGAGGCCCTGCTAGTTGCCAAGTGGCTTGAGAGGCTCTATCTATGCTTGGCGCGAGGGGATTTTGTGTGGCCACTGAACATTGTGGCAGGATGTTGGCCTCTCGGTGACAGTAACCAGAAAATAGGAAGGGGAGTGACAGGTGAGGCCCTCTCTATGATACAATGCGAGGCGGCTAGCTCACGAGTGGCCCGAGGGGTGTATGCCTCCGAGTGTGAGGCGGGGTGTTGGCCTCGCGGGACCACTAACCGAAGCATAATGCAGAGAAAAAAAGGGGGTAATACCTATTGGGCCCTAGAACCCTAATTGCCAGTACACTATTACTATTCCAGGGAAGGTAAGAGATGGATAACTACGTGAGCAGGTGTATGTACCTGGTAGTATGGTATTGAACCTGACAATCCGTATAGGTTTTTTAGTAGTAACTGTAACCTGAATGGATAAAACCGTATGGCATAAGGAAATATGGCATAGACCAAGCTTATCTTAATACGTACAGTATATGTGAAAAGTAAAGTGCCATGATGTGTAAATATTAAACATCGTAGCCATACTGGTTAAATATGTATCAATCTTAACCCATTAAGTGCCGTATGTACAAGTGAAAATGTGGTCTGTCCCCACCTTGTATGTTGTATTTCCCCTTGCTAGGGCAAAATCTGTTGCGTGAGCAGCGTGCTGTGAAAAATGTATGTGAACTATATTACCAGTTACGTATATACAGACGCGTCTGCTACTGTGTAATAATATATGTATTTATACCTGATGTTGATATAGTGCTTGCTATGTGAATTGTTGTATGTCTTATTGAATGGTAGGGGTCAGTGAACATGGTGTTGCAAAATGCAAGTGCACTGGAGATCTGCCGAGTGCCCTATAGGTGGCAGTGTAGTTGGATACTGATTGGTATGTGAAATGTTGTTTGTCTGTTGACCTATAGGTGTAAGTGTTTTGGTGTTTGTAAAACCCCATGAAAATTGTCAATGTACTTGACAGACCTGTAGATGGCAGTGTTGATAGAACCACTGTTGGTCTTGATGTGAAATGTAAATTATTGTGAATTAAACCTGAAGTTGAGCCCGTGCTGGAGTTTAATTTATGGTCTATAGTTATGTTTAAAACAATCTTATGTGTAATTTATATTGGCTGGTAAATTGTATATGACATGTGAAGACAGTTTTGCTGTTGACCAGTAGGGGTCAGAAATGCTGATTGTATGTTAAAATACCCTTTAACCCCTTAAGGACCAAACTTCTGGAATAAAAGGGGATCATTACACGTCACACATGTCATGTGTCCTTAAGGGGTTAATGCTACCATTTGACAGATAGGAGTCAGTATAAAAGCGAAAATGTTGTATACTGATTGACCGGTAGGGGTCAGCATGTAGGCGAAAATGCCGTGGTTAGTTGGTTTGTACATGAAATGCAATAATGTCTGAGAAGCCTGTAGTACACTGAATGACCTGTAGGGGTCAGTGTGTAGGCGCAAATGCAGTGGTTCGTTGGTTTGTACATGAAATGCAATAATGTCTGAGAAGCCTGTAGTACACTGAATGACTGGTAAGGGTCAGTGTGTAGGTGAAAATGCAGTGGTTTATGGTTTATGGTTTTGTACATGAAAAGCAAAAACGTCTAAGAAGCCTGTAGTACACCGAATGACCAGTAGGGGTCAGTGTGTAGGTGCAAATGCAGTGATTCGTTTATTTGTACATGAAATGCGATAATGTCTAAGAAGCCTGTAGTACAACAAAAACCGGTAGGGGTCAGTGTGTAGGTGAAAATGAGGTGGTTTATTGGTTTGTACATGAAAATGCAAAGAACGTCTAAGATGCCTGTAGTACCCCGAATGACCGATAGGGGTCAGTGTGTAGGTGAAAATGCGGTATATATATATATATCACACTCTATACACTATATATATATATATATATATCACACTCTATACACTATATATATATATATATCACACTCTATACACTATATATATATATATCTCACACTCTATACACTATATATATATATATATATATATATATATCTCACACTCTATACACTATATATATATATCTCACACTATATATATATCACACTCTATACACATATATATATATCACACTCTATACACATATATATATATCTATATCTCACACTATATACACTATATATATATATATATATATATATATATCTCACACTCTATACACTATATATATATATCTCACACTCTATACACTATATATATATATCTCACACTCTATACACTATATATATATATCTCACACTCTATACACTATATATATATATATCACACTCTATACACTATATATATATCTCACACTCTATACACTATATATATATCTCACACTCTATACACTATATATATATCTCACACTCTATACACTATATATATATATCTCACACTCTATACACTATATATATATATATCACACTCTATACACTATATATATATATCACACTCTATACACTATATATATATATCACACTCTATACACTATATATATATATATCACACTCTATACACTATATATATATATCACACTCTATACACTATACACTATATATATCACACTCTATACACTATATATATATCTATCACACTCTATACACTATATATATATATATCACACTCTATACACTATATATATATATCACACTCTATACACTATATATATATATATCACACTCTATACACTATACACTATATATATATCTCACACTCTATACACTATATATATATCTCACACTCTATACACTATATATATATATATATCTCACACTCTATACACTATATATATATATCACACTCTATACACTATACACTATATATATCACACTCTATACACTATATATATATCTCACACTCTATACACTATATATATATATCACACTCTATACACTATATATATATATATATATCACACTCTATACACTATATATATATCTCACACTCTATACACTATATATATATATATATCACACACTATACACTATATATATATATATATATATCTCACACTCTATACACTATATATATATATATCACACTCTATACACTATATATATATATATATATATCACACTCTATACACTATATATATATATATATCTCACACTCTATACACTATATATATATATATCTCACACTCTATACACTATATATATATATCTCACACTCTATACACTATATATATATATCACACTCTATACACTATACACTATATATATCACACTCTATACACTATATATATATATCTCACACTCTATACACTATATATATATATCACACTCTATACACTATATATATATCACACTCTATACACTATATATATATCACACTCTATACACTATATATATATATATATCACACTCTATACACTATATATATATATATATATATATCACACTCTATACACTATATATATATCTCACACTCTATACACTATATATA